ATCAAACTAAATCCAGCAATATATAAATGGGGAAAATACATCATGACCAAATTGGTTTATCCAGAAATGCAAGGTCAGCTTTGCATTTGTAAATTGATTAACACAATTCATATTAATAGAAAAAAATATATAATCACTTCAATAGTAGAAAATACAGTTGGCAAAATTCAATATCCCTTCTAGAAATAGAAGACAATTTCCTTAATCTGATAAAGAGTATCTACAAAACACATACAGTAAACATCATTTTTAATGGTGAAATGTAGAAAACATTCCACTGCCCTTGGAAATGATACAAGGATGCTTGACATCATCACTGTTTTGACATTGTACTGAAGGTCCTAGCCACTGCAATAAAGCCAAATAAATAGATACATGATAGATAGATAGATGATAGATAGATAGATAGATAGATAGATAGATAGATAGATAGATAAATAGTGTAACGATGAGAAAGAGAAAATTAAAACTCCCATTAGTCACAGATGATATGAATGTATATGGAAAAAAATCTAAAAAAAATCTATAGACAAATTATTCAAGTGAATAAATGAGTTTAGCAAAGTTGTTAGAGACCTTCCTGGTATTTCCATATATCATCAACAAAAATAAAATAAATTTTTAAAAGATAGCATTGATAATAGTACAAGAAGAAAACACTAAGAAAGAAGGGATAAACCTCATGAAAGATGTGCAAGATCTTTACACACTAAATTATAAGATATTATTTAGAGACATTGAAAAAAATCTTTATAAATAATGGGGTATTCCATGTCCATGGATTAGGAGAAATGTTATAAAGACACCATTTCTTTCCAAATGTAACTATAGAGTTAATATGACCCCCATCGAAATACCAATAGGCTTTTTGTAGAGATCTACCTGCTGATTCTAAAATTTACTTAATATTGTCAAGTGCCAAGAATATTCAAGACACCCTTGAAGAACAAGGTGGGTGAACATGCTCTACTGGGTATCACCACATCATAAAAAGCCACAATAATTAGGACAAGTGCCAGGAAAGGCAAACTAATCATATAGAAAAGGGAACCCAGAACAGACCTAAATATATTTATGACAAAGGTGGTACTGCATCACAGTTCAAAAAGGACTGTTTTTTTTTTTCCCAACAAATACTGCACTAGGATATGTGTTTGAGAAAAAATAGTAATTCCTCCTACCTCATACAATACAGAAAAACCATTGTAGGTGGACTGTAGATCTAAATGAAAAAAATAACAGTTTCTAGAAGCAGCATTAAATAATATCTTGAAGAACGTGGATGAGCAAAAATTTCTTTCAAACGGTACAAAAAGAATCAATGATAAATAACAATACAGAAAAATGGAGAGTTTCTGTTCTCCCAAAGACACCATTAAGAGAGTCCACAGACAGAGAGAAGACAGATAACTGAACAAGGGCTCATATCCAGTCTAACCCTCTGTCGGTCTCTCTCTTCCGAAGAAAATGTAAAGGAAGAACCATGAATTTTTTTATAAAGAAAACTAGCATCCGGGACCTTATTCACTACACTCATTATACAGCTGAGCAAACTGGAGGCAAGGGGTCATGGAGCTGAGGTCTCATAAGTTCCAGTCTAATGCTGTTTCTCCATGACCAGACAAGATGAGCACACAGAACCAAGAAAACAACAGCAACAAATCATAAGATAACCCGAAAAACCCAACAATAAAAATACTCAAGAAACTAGGAATCAAAGGGAATTTTCTCTGCCTGATAAAAAGGCACCTAAGAAAAACCTGCAGCTAACATCAGATGCAGTGGTAAGACTGAACGTCTTCCCAAAATTAGGAACAAGACAAGGATACCTGTTGGCACCAATCCTGTATGACACTGTATTGGAAATTCCAGGCAGAGCAATAAGGCAAGAAAAAGAAATTAAAAGGCATTCAAATATGAAAGGAAAAGAGTGAAACTATTTCTATCTCCAGACAACATGACCTTGAAAAAATGCAAGGGAATCCACTAAACATCTGCTAGAACTAATAAATTCAGCAAGTTTGCTGGGATCAATACACAAAATTCAAGAGCTTACTTCTACAGATTAGCAATGAACATTCTGAAAATTAAATTAGAAAACATTCCCACTTACAATAGTACCAAAAAAGAATTTTGTAAATATTTTTATTTAGAAATAAATTTAGCAAAAGAAATACAAGACTTGCACACTGAAAACTACAGAACACCTTCGAAAGAAATTAAAGAAGACCTAAATATATGGAAAGACATCCCATGTTTATGGTTCAGAAGACTTAACCTTAACATAGCAATACTTCTTCAATCAATCAACAGATTCCATGCAATCTCCATCAAAATCCCAGCCAACTGTTTTGCAGAAATTGACCAGCTGATCCTAAAATCCATATGGAAAAGCAAGGGACCCAGAATAGCTAAAACAATCTTGAAAAAGGATAAAGTTGGATGACTTATACTTCCCGACTTTAAGCCTTACAACAAAGCTACAATATTCAGAACACTGTGGAATTAGCATAGGAAGGATATATACACCAGTATAACAGAACGGAGAATCCAGAAACTGGTTTTCTGGATCAACTGATTATCAGCAACAGTCTCAAGACAATTTAATGGGGAAAGAATTGAGTTTCCAACAAATTGTAACAGGACAACTGGACATCCACATGCAAAAGAATGGAGTTGGACGCCCACCTCATCTCATGCACAAAAAAATTACTCAAAATGGATCAAAGACTTAAATGTAAGCACTAAAACCATAAAAATTTTTAGAAAAAAGCACAGATGTGATCTCTGACCTTTGGTTAGACAATGGTGTCTTAGATATGACACCCAGAGCATAGGCAACAAAAGAAAAAATCGATGTTATACTGCATCAAAATTAAAAACAATTTTGCTGCAAAAAGTGTACGTTTTTGTACATGATCAAGAAAGCGAAATATTACTCCACAAAAGGGAAAAGGTATTTGTAAATCATATATCTGATAATGAAATTGTGTCTAGAATGCATAAAGAATACTTACATCTCAATAATGAAAGGACAACCCAATTTTAAAAATGGTAAAGGATGTAAATACACATTTGTCCAAGGAAGATACACAAATGGCCAATACGTACATGAAAATATGCTTCGCGTCACTAGCCATAGGGAGATGCAAATCAAAATCACAGTGAGATACCACTTCACCCGTACTGAGATGGTTACAAGCAGAAGGACAAATGCTCGCATGGGCATGGTGATACTGGGTCCTCCATAAGGCGCTGCTGAGAATGAAGCAGTCCGTTTGGCTATTAATAGTGGACAGTGCTGCTATAAACACTGGGGTGCGGGTGCCCCTTCAGATCACTGTGTTTGTATCCTTTGGATAAATACCAAGTAGTACAATTGCTGGGTCCCAGGTAGCTCTATTTTTAACTCCTTAAAGAACCTCCATACTGTTCTCCAGAGTGGCTGCACCAGTCTGCGTTCCCACCAGCAGTGTGAGAAATGTCCATCGACAGATGAATGGATAAAGAAAATGTGGTACATATATACATATATGTATATGTATATATACCATGGAATATGACTCAGCCATCAATAAGAATGAAATCTTGCCATTTGAAAGGATATGGATGGATCTAGAGGGTATTATGCTAAGCGAAATAAGTCAGTCAGAGAAAGACAGATACCATATGAAACAAAACAGATGAACATAGGGGAAAGGAAGGAAAAATAAAATAAGACAAAACAGAGAGGGAGGCAAATCGTAAGAGACTCTTAACTATAGGGAACAAACTAGGGTGGACGGAGGGCAGGCGGATGGGGGGATGGGGTAATTGGGTGGTGGGCATTAAGGAGGGCACACGATGTTATGAGCACTGGGTTTTATATGCAACTGATGAATCACTAAATCCTACCTCTGAAACTAATAAAAATAAATAAATAAATGAAAGCAGTCTGTTAGGCCTTCAAAAGATCTAACAGAGTAGTTCCCTACTCCGAGGTCTATACCCCAGGGAAGTGAAAATTTACTTACTTCCAGCTAAAAGTTAGCACCTGAATGTCCATAGCAGATTATTCATAGTAGCCAAAAAGTGGAAACACCCCAAATGTCCACCAATAAATGAAAGGATAAATAAAAGTGGTCCATACAATGGAATATTAGCTACCTATAGAAAGGAATGAAGGACGGAGGCACGCTACAGCCTGGAGGAACCGACCCAACAGGAAAGAAGCCAGTCACAAAGGACTACCTAGGGTATGATTCTACCTATTGGAGATTTCCAGAACAAGCACATTAGCGGTTCCCCAGTATGGGGATGTAGAGGGGGAATGGAGAGTGAGGCCAGTGGGTAGATGGTTTCTTCTGGGAGTGGTGAAAATGTTCTAAAATTGATCGTGGTGATAGTTGCCCAACCTTGTGATGGTTGTGAATATAGGAGGAACCGCTGAATTGCGCACTTTAAATAGGTGCGTTGTAATGAGACATGCATTGCATTTCAATAAAGCTATTATTACCACCACCAAAAAAAAAACCAAAACTGGGGGGTTCCCACTGCAGATATACATTAGGTAAAGTGGATAACACGTTTTTCAAATCTATAACAAGCTTAAAGTGGTACATGGTCCTTACAATATGGTACTGTCCCAAGAATTTATCTTAATTTCTTTAAAAAACTTAACCGTTCACCGCGTTTGTTCCCCTTTTGGCCCTTGCCGACTCTCCTTCGGTCCCCTCCAGACTCACCGCAGGGCGTGGGTCCCAGGGCCCCCAAGGGCGCGAGGCTCCGACGACGGGGCGGGCCCGGGGGCGGCCGCTGTGACCTCGGGGCGTGTGCAAACACCGCCCTCCGCGGCCACCGATAGGTCCCACCCCACCTTGGAGACCTGCGGGGCGGGGGCGGGGAGAAGCGCCGCAGGAGGCCGCGCGCGCGGCCGGGTGCTCGGAGGAGACTCTGGGAGGCCGGGGAGGCCCGGCAGGCTCCGGGGAGGCCGGGCAGGCTCGCGGGAGGCCAGGCGCGGGATGTGGGCGCCAAGCGGCCCGCAGGGGCCCGCGGGCTGGGACCGCCGCAGGGTGGGCGCCCGGCTGCGCGCCGCGCTCGCGGGGCTGCACGAGCTGCAGGGGCTGCGCGCCACGCAGCAGGCGCGCGTGCGGGGCGCCCTGGCCATGCAGCCCCCGCCGGGGCCCGCCGCCCCCCGCGGCCCCGAGCACCCCAGCGGCCCCCGCGCGCACGAGCTGCGGCTGGAGGCGGCGCTGGAGGCGCTGCAGGAGCAGCTGGTAAGGAGCGCGGGGCCCCGGGGGTGCTAGGGCGCGCGGGGAGGCGGCGAGCCGGGCCACCTGGCGCGGGCGGCGCCGCGGCTGGGCTGTCCGACTGATTGAAGGGCACCCCTTGGGATTTCAGGGAACGCAGTTTGGGTTCAAACGAGAGGGCCGCGGAGGCCCGAGGCACAGGGATAAGGATCCTGATTCAGAAAGGCGCACTGGGGCGCACCCTGGCGCTGCCGCCTTCCCCGAGCAGGCAGGCTTTTAGCGTGCATTCCTGTTTCACTTCCGGCGCTGTTCTGATAAGAGCGCATTAGGTCGGGTTCTCCTGGTGGGGGCTTACTCGGGATCCTGGTGTCAGACCCGGGATACAGGTGTCCCTGCTGCGCAGGCTCAGGAACATTGCCCGCGTGCTCGGCGCAGCCCGAATTGTCCCCACAACGTGCTCAGGTTAAATGGGGTCCGGTCATTGTAACAAAATAGTGAGGAAAGCATGTATCCCATGAAAGCTTCTTCAGTTTTAAATTGTAACCTGACCTGTAAAATGAGGCGTGGCCTCTGAATCCCAGAGGCCTTAATACCGGGGACCCTCCTAGGATTGCTTTACCTTTGTGTCTCCTGGCTACCTGGCCGCCTCCAAATGCCAGCACCTTTTTACAGGGTTGAAGACGCTCAGATGGTTGCTCCTCCCTTTTTAATCTGCTGCAGGCTTTCTCTTCGTGTATTGGAAACAACTCAAGAGTTTTTCCAGTATTGAGTATGTTTTAAAGGAAAAATGAAAAGGCTATATGGAAACATTCCTATCTGATGCAGTTAATTCTAGTCCTCTTAAAGTGGAATTTTTTAAATTTAGAAATTCAAATCTGTTCTGTTTAAAAGCTGCTGGCCGTCTTCGCAAAGCTGCCCAATGATTCTGCAGCCTTGCTATCAGCTTAGCTCCCTCCCGTTACCGGCTTGTTGGGTGTTTCTGGATTCCAGAATCTGGAAGATGCCTCCCAGGACTCCGGACTCCTATTGCAAAAAGCAGGCGGAAGGTGGAGGGGGAAGAACCTGGGCCCTGACTATGCAGCCTCCCCTCTGTGATTGAGCTGCCCCACAGAAGGCAGGAGCCGGCTCTGGAAGGGGACCGTCACCCGTGTTTTACCGCCCTTAGTGGTCTGCCCCGGTTCCCCGCATGTCTGCACTGCAAGCTCCGCGGCACACAGCCGCCTACAGAGATGCGTGGCTCCCGGGGAAGAGCCGGGAGCTGCTGAGATGCTGGCCTCAGCGCTCCTCAGCGGGGCAGAAGCACAGCTGGCGATTAACTTGACTTAAGTAATACACAAATCAGACTTGGGAGTCGTCAGCCTCTAATTACAAGTAGCCTTTGGAAGAGATCAAACAGGTTTTTTTGTTTAAAAAAATTTTTTTTATGTGGGGACCAGAAGGAACACGCAGACTTTGTCTTCAAACTTTGTTCTTGGCATGGATTATGTGATCAAAAGAAGAATAATTGAATTTGTGTGACATCAGCTAGGGCTTAACACTTAACATTTTTCTTGCAGGGAAAAAAATAGGAGTAATACTAGTTCCGTGATGAAGAGTATAATCAAAAGCCTTTCATCCGCAGCGCGGTTGCAGACTCGCAGCGCCCGCTCACTCAGGGCCCTTCCCAGTCCCGCGCTGGCGTGGACCGAGCGTCAGTGTTCAGGTGTGAAGACAGGAAGGGCTTGGATCTGCCCCTCGGCAGCTTTGTCCTGCAGGAGTTCGCCCGTGAGAATGAGCCTGAGCGTTTCTGGGGATTTAAACTGCAATTAGGAACTTAGCAGAGTTAGCACGTTAACACTTACCCAAATGGGCTGCACCTAAAGTCACAAAGGAACAGGCAGTAGGTGCTTAGTAAGTATTTGGTGAGCAAATAAAGGCGTGGCTTCCGTTGCTCTTAACAGAAGAGAACGTTTACTGTCTCCCTGGTCTAGATTTCTGAGCCAGTGATGCCCCCGTGCCCTCTGCGCAGGGCAGCTGCTTCTCCCTGTCCAGCCCTGTGCTTCTGTTGATAACGCCAGGGAGATCGGTCATCCGTGAGAAGTGGCCGCCGTCCCCATTTCCTAGGAGTTAGGTGCCCGGCGACACTGCCATGGCCTGCAATGCCCCAGAGGAGGCCGGAAGCTCCACCTCCCAGCAGGAGGTGCCGTGGGAGAGGTGCTCTGAGGTGCAAGTGAAGAAAGGTTCTGGGGACCCGCAGTGAAATCTTACCCTGAAGAATTTCCCAGGAGTTGACTTGGCCGGTCATGACTTGTCCTAAGAGTGGCAGCGTGCAATGATTGCTTCTCACTGGCGGGTTCTGGCATTAAATTCTGCAAGAGCAGGCTGCCTCCGCAGCAGTTAGCATGAGGTCGGCTGTGTTCCCTGGACCGGCCATGCTTGCTTCCTGAACTCACACGGGAGTGAACTTGCCCAAGTTCACCAGTGAGGGCAGGGCATCCCCAGGACTGTGCCAGGCCTCCGTCCGGTACTCGTGAGGCTGATCTGTGCCCCTGGGGCCTTTGCTGTTGATTGATGGACCTCTTTTGCAGCCTGGCGGTAATGTTTACCCGCGTACAGGGCCCGGGGGTAGCCACGGCAGTCACGTCTGTCCTGTTTCCTTTGCATACTCTCAGCTTTTGAGGAAAGAAAAAAGGTTCAGGTTTAGACGCCATGGGTGTATCCTGAACTTGAGGGCATTTTTTCCTTTTTGTCCTTTGGGTCTGCCCTAAAGGTTTGAGGAGACCGGAATGCAGAGTCGTGGCTGGAAACCCAAAGACAAACAAGTGGAAATCAGATGGTTCTCTTATGGTACATGAAGTAAACATTTCAGAGAAAGGGATAAGCTGAGTCTTTGTTTTTAATGGCATTCCCTGGATTGCCGTGCTCAAGCTTCTTGCCTCTGTGAGAACCCTTTGCATTCCCTGGGAGGCTTGTCCAGATGCAGGCTCCCAGGTGTGGCCAGGATCCCAGGAATCTGCATTTACGCTCAGGCGATCCCACCTCCTGGGGAAGTGTGTGCTCCCTTACCCGCTTGGCCCCTTACACGGGGGGGTGGATTCCGACACCTTTCGCTGCCCTGATGCCTGGATGCTGGGGACAGAGGTAGGGAGGAGGGGGGGCCCCCAAACTTGCTGGCTCTGACGGGGATGCATGTGGCTGCCACAGTCCCGTTCACCCAGTGCTGACGTGTCTGTAACATTTTCTCTGCAGAAGAAATATGTGGAGAGAGATGCTCTGTGGCTGGGTTGCCATGGATTATGCTCTGTCCTGGTCACAGAACCAACTTGAGACGATTAGCACAAAGTTAGATGCCAAGAAGGAGTTAATGAAGAGCAGAGACATACAACCCCAAGGGAGGGACGGGGGGAAGGGTTAATGAGGACAGTGTAAATCCCCGATGGCGAAGCCCTGTGGGCCAGCGGGCAGGTCCTGAGGATGCGGTAAATCATCTGCGAACCCCGAGAGCCCGTGTGCCTGTGGCCTCTGGACATTAATCGGAAACCACCCACCGAAGGCCTGGCTGGCCAAACATTAATCACCAAGCAGTTAGTCTCAGCACAAACACACAGAGGTGACTCTTTTTTGTGGAAGGAAGGACGCGAACTGGGGCATCAGAGGTGCTCGCTTCCTTCAGAAGGACGAGAACATCGTAATTTCGAAGAGAAGAGGTCAGATCGGTTTGTAAGCATCGAGGTGTGACCTAACAGAGGAACTGACTTTTCTGTTGGCACAGTGGCCTTACTTTATGACAGGAAAAGAAAAGTCGGTTGCAGTGAAAAGGCACACGGGCCCCTTTGCCTGAATCTAGTGCTCTTTACGGGGAGGGTCGTTCGCGGAAGCCCATCTTTGCATACCTCTCTCTCTGCTCTTCACCTGGGTAACGTTTTCCTTTGTAAAAGTATTCAGAGTCAGAAGCCAGATGTTTAGGCTGGACTGGATGGTTCAGGGATTATAAAGTTTTTATTAAAGTCAGGACTGGTTTTTGCTGTGATATGTTTACAGATAGTGGCTTTGAGACTCTGTTGAGACTCTTTGAGACTCTGTTGCTGTAACACGTGGAGCTTGCTCTCAGAGCCCTGGATGGGGTCCTGGAGCAAAGGGGAGTTGGGCACCGTGGCCCCGGGGGAGGTGGCCTGGGCCTGGTGGCCCGGGGAGGTGGCCTGGCATGCACCAGGCACTGTGTCAGGCCCTGGGCTTCTCACCCACTTCGCCTCACCTGGGCTAGCGTCTGATCGCTGTGCCCACATGACTCCCTCGTAAGAATTAGAAATTACTGCGACCTGCTTCCCTCTTGGACCGCATCCCCATAGTACTGAGATTACTGAAATAATTATGAGGCTCAGGGGAATTCCGCACTTTCTGTATTAAATTTGAAACACAACTAATCATTTTCTTAAACAGGGTGAACCACATAATTACATTCATTCATTATTTGCCTTAAACTTAATTGTTGATAAAAATAAGAAATTTATGCAGCACCCCTTGAAAACGGTGTTGTTTTATAATCGAAAGAAGAAAATCAGTATTTGTGAAGCACTCAGTGCTAGCTGCTGTACATATATATTATTTACATGTGGGAATGTGTGCGAATACGTATTCTGAGCATTAACCGCATACACATATTTTATGTGTATTATATAATTACACACAAATATGTTCAGCTAATGCTCTTAATAACTCATTTACGGCTGAAGCCTGGAGAGGGTAGAGCCTCGGGGCAGAGCTAAGAAGTGAACCTCTACACCCGGAAGATTCTCGGGCAGATTTTTGAGGCTTGCTGAGTGCAGGCACTGTCCCCTCCTGCCGGGCCTCCGCCCTGTCCCTTCTCCTAGAAGAGCCAGCTGTAAAGGGGGGAAGGTGCAGAAGGGGGCCTTTTTCTCTCCGGGACTTTCCTAGGCCCTTGAAAAGTCCGGGGGTCACCCAGGGCCTGCTGAGTAAAAGAATATGGCGCGGGAGTGTGGGAAAGTAGGTTCTTACATAAAACTCGGAGAACAGCGGCTGAACGCGTCGTCTGTGCCACGGGGTAGAAAAAGCACCAAGAGTAGGTGCTTTGATCCCGAGCTCAGAGGCTGTATCAGCCTCCCTATAGAGAAATACGTAGTTGAGAATTGCTGATTTTTCCATAAGTCTGCAGCTTCGGGTGGGAAACCGGTTGGCGGGGGAGGGGTGACTGGAGGCAGGGGAATTGTTTCGGGGGTGGGGGGGTACAGAGTTGCTGGAGCCTGTGGATTGTGGAGTTAACGTCGCAGGCCCAGTGCTGACCTCCCGTGGGGCGCGGAGCTTGTGTTCTGCCCTCGGACAGCGTTATTTCTCATGCTCTCACTTCCTAGAGCCGCTTACGACGCCAGGATACCGGCCTGAAGACCCGCTGGGAGCAGCTGGACCGGCGGATGGGTGAGCTGCAGCTGGACGTGCGCCGACCCTGCAGCGAGGCGGCCGACAGCGACAGCAGGCCCAGCTCAGGTAGCCTGCGCCCCGGGGGACCGCACACGTGCGGGGCCGCCCAGGCTCCCGGGCCCGGCTCAGTGAGGGCGGCCCCAGCCTGGAGAACCCGTTCCCGAGGAGTACTGGAAATGCACCCCTTCCCCCATTCTCCCCAAATGTGCTTCGGGAAAAGGGGAATGTGCACGTAGGGTGTGTTCATGGAGAGACTTCTTGATGGATGAAGCCGCCGTGAGTGTCTCATCTCTGTCTGGGCTGACACAGATTCCGGGCCGTGTTCAGGTTGGATTAACAGGGGGGTTGTCAAGAACTGTTTTATGAGACCACAGTCTGCAGGTTTATACAGTCTCAATTCTGCGTGATCTGTCAGAGAAGGGGGTCAGGACACTGTCCCCTTGCCCGCTGCCCGTGTGTCCCTTGCCCTAGAGCTGCGAGGTGATGGTTCTGGAGCCGTTCCGACCCTCCTGGTTCAGGGCACGTCATCCCACCTGGCCGGAGCCTGGTGTGCGGCCACCCCAGGACACCGCGGATGGCGCTGTCTGCTGTTCCTCTTTCTGTAAATTTGCAGAACCACGTCCTGGTCTGGGTGGGCGATGCGTGCGTCGGGGTCCGGGCTGGAGGCCCACAGCGCGCTGCCCTTCCTCTGAGCCACAGGCACCAGGGGGGCAGGGACAAGGACGCCAGAGGTCTGGCCCCATCGGGAGAGGGAAGCCACTTGCCTGGGAGGGGGGCGCGCCGGTGGGGGGGGGCATGGGCGAAGGGGGCTCCCACGGACCATGTTCACAGGGCGACGGCGGACAGTAACAGGGAGCCCCCGGCCAGCATCTCCAGTGCCCGCCTTGCTGAGACCCGGAGCCCCCCCCCTGAGCACCGGGGCCTGCTCGGGCAGGAAAGGGGCTGTTGCGCCGGGGTCGCTGACCACCTCCGCTCACCCCGTCTAGGCTTCTACGAGCTGAGCGACGGAGGCTTCTGCTCCCTGTCCGCCTCCTGCACATCCGTGTGTAGTGACCGCATGTCCTCCTCCCTGGGAACTTTGCCGCCAGCTGACCCCACGGCCAGGCCCGACGCGGGGGACTGCCGGCCCCGGTCGGCCGATGAGACCACCGTGCACGGAGCACCCCCACCCGCCTGGGTCCCCCAGGCCATGGAGGACGGCATGTCCCGGCCCAGGCCCGTGTCTACAGGTAAAGGAGAGCCGGGAAGGGTGGGACGTCCCATCCGGGTGTGGGGGCGGCTGGGGGGCTGTTCCACCACCGAGCACAGAGCGGCGAAGCCCCGTGTGCGTCTGGTGCTGGTCCCACACGTACTCTATAGGCTTTTTTTGGTTTTTGGATGGAGACAGGAGTACTTCCGTTCATTACAGCAAGTCTGTTGTGATAAAAAGCATTTTTTTCTTAGGATTTAAGTGGACATCAGAAAGTTATTTTAAAAAAAAAAACCCTTCTAGAACCCTTACACACCCTGACGGGTACCTGTCTAATTGGAATGGACACAGCACCTAGAGCGACCCAAACCCTGGGCGAATGAGGGCATTGAAATGATAGATTTTGAGTCCAGGCTTTACCTTCAAGCTGTGGCAGAGAGGGGAGACCAGAGCAGGTGATGGAGTTAGCGTGCAAGCAGCCCCCTCCGCAAGCTCGAGTCCCGGCGTTGGCATGCACAGTGGGCCGCTGTTCCTGCCCGCCTCCCGCCCACACCTGCACAGCGCACTGCACCGTTGTGGCACTGCATGGAAGGTGACACTAGGACTGTACTGGGGTCTCCACGATTCACCTGTTGCTCATTTTTCTCATTCCCAGGTGATCTTGAAAGAGTCCTGCCATCTGAGGTGGCGCTCCAGAAAGCCAGCGCACACCCCAAGTCCACTTCCGTTCTCTGCCACGGGATGGACCTCCCAGCCCCCGTGCTGGACCCCAAATACCAGCGTGACCTGGTGTCCAAGGGCGGCAGGGAGGTGTACCCGTACCCCAGTCCCCTGCACGCTGTGGCTCTGCAGAGCCCGCTCTTTGCTCTACACAAAGAGACCCTGCAGGGTCACGGCCACTCGCCCTCTAGGGAGCCCCTCCCCAGCCCCGCGGCCCTGGGCTCCATCCGGACTGGACCTGTCCTTGAGGCTGGTCCAGCTGCAGCCTATATAGACAGGCTGTTGAGGCTGCGGGCCCGAGGGACCCCCCCAAGGGGCAGTGTGGGTGAGCCCGGACCCTCAAGACTTGAGGCGCCCCCATCCCCGCGGGTGCTTGGTGGCCAGAGAGCGGATGGTGAAGGTGGGCTGGGGAAGCTGGTGTGCCCCTCAGGGAAAGCAGGCACAGGTGGGACGGCTCAGAGGGCGGGCAGCAGCAGGGACAGCCTCAAGCAGCGGGGGCCTGCACTGCTCGCAGCCACGCCACGCTCCAGCAGCCTTCCAGAGGAGGGACCCAAACCCCCGATTGGCTGCGTCTGTGGGGAGACCGTGAGGGGCTCCCCGCAGTCGGGGCATGGGCCAGCCCCCTCTCCCCGCCCCCAGGCTCAGCAGCAGGCTCTCAGCTGCCAGGACAGCACAGCCCTGTTGCCTACCAGGAAGGGGGGCAGGGAGAGCCCTGCGCTGGCCCCAGGGCACTGTGCCCCGCCCCCATTTGCTGACAGCGGAGCTTCCCCCCTAGGGCTGAAAACAGGCCACCCCAAGACAAAGTCTGTGAAGATCAAGAGAGGGTCCAGTGACAAGGTGCTGCGGTTTGGGGGTCAGCCGTCCCCTGGGGGGGCCCTCGCAGCCCCACTGTTGCCCCCCGAGTGGGGGCAGGGTCTCAGGAGGAGACCCACCCTGGCGGGGACGGCGCCCAGCCGGTCCTGCTCTGAGCCCAGACTCTACCCTGTGCCCCTCCTGGTGCCCCTGCTAGTGGCCCGACGGGAGGGTCACCGGGCCCCCGCCCAGGCCTCTTTCCCCTTGGAAGTGGCTGCTCTGGTGGCGGCCGGGGGGCAGGTGCGGAGGAAGCAGCGCAGGTGGCTGTCCTCCGTGGAGATCTCAGGCAGCCTGGGGCCCCACAGGCTTGCGGCAAGCAGAGCGGGGGGCCCACGGCCGGTGTGTGCCCGCGCCAGGCCCAAGCTGCCTCGCCAGGATGCCCGGGTCAGGAGCGAGTCGGAGGGCTCTGAGCGGTCAGCCGAGGGCGCCTCCCTGCTCCACTCCACCGTGGCCGACAGCAGTGAGGACGGGGCGAGCGACCGCACCACCAGCCACTTTGGAGACCGGGAGTCCAGCGGCAGTGACTCGGAGGCCGGGGCCTGGCCTCAGGCCTGTCCCCCCCAGCCCCCGAGGGCCCCAGGCGCCCGCAGGCCACCCCTGCCCCCGGTGCCCAAACTGTGCCGCATCAAGGCCTCCAAGGCCCTGAAGAGGAAGATCCGACGGTTCCAGCCGGCGGCGCTCAGGGTCATGACCATGGTGTGAGACCCATGGGAGTCGGCTGAGCGCCTCCCCAGCCGCTCGGGGGACGGGGGTCCCAGGGGAAGCCGTCCTCCTGGGGACCCACGGGTGAGCGTGTGACCAGCACAGACAGGCCCTTCCCTGGCTAAGGACCAGGCTCGCACTTTGTTGGCTGTCCAGGATGCGGGTGTGGGTTTGTGTGTCATCTTGCTAGTATGGATTAACTCTGAAGTCACTCAGAAGAGGGGGTGAAGTGGGTCCCCCGGGCTTGCCCCATGGACCGCAGTGGCTCTGGCGAGCGTTGGCCACAGCGGAGACTGGTAGAGACTGCAGTCCCGCCCACCCGCTGCCTCCGTGTCAGCGTCTTCCCGGGGCGGGCCTCCCACCAGGCTTCCCGGGTGTCCGCCTTGTAGCCTGGTGGTCCTCCCGCAGCCCCACCGCCCCCTGGCCCCCGGCCCCATTCTGCATGGGTTGGGCACCGTGGTCACCCCCAGGCCTTCTAAACCATGATTCCCAAAAAGCATTCTCCTAAAGGGCCGGTTGGAGGACTGCTGGAGAAATCAGGGTGTGAATCCCACAGTAAGCCCTCCCCATGCATAAATACGCAGATCACGCCGTTGTCTTCGCTAGCCCATCTCGTGAGCTGCCAGCTCCTTCCTGCTTGCGCGCAGTAGGCCTTCGGTCAAGCCTGACTCCCCACCATGTGGGCGCCCTCACTGGGGGTGGGAAGATGCATTTGCCATGCATGCAGCCCAAACTCTGGGTCCAATACACAAAACAGCATAAAAGTGTTTTTGAAGGGGTGCCCGGCTGGCTCAGTCTGTGGACCATGCCACTCTTGATCTCGGGGTTGTGAGTTCGAGCCCCGCATTGGCTGTAGAGATTAACGTAAAAATAAAATCTTAAAAAAAAAAAAAGTTTTTGAAAAAACCTCTTTTGGTGTTTATTGAAACTGCCCCTCAACTTTTCCAGGATTTTCAAGGAAGCTGCCTGCTGAGTATTGCAACATTTTTAATTCCGGAAGCAGCTCTACCTTGAATCCCTCTCAGCTGCCCTGAAGTGCTTCCCTGGGCCTGGGGCCAAAAGAACAAGTGGGGGACATCTACACCGCGGATCCTGGGTGGCTGGGGACCTCAGCCCCTCCCCGGGGCTAAATGCATGGTTGGCCAGAACTTGGGAAGGAAAAACAGTAAGAAACCCAGCCAAAATGTTTGTAGATTTATGGACATTCATGTAACAAGAGGCCAGTTTCAGGATGCAGTTTAAAGAGCTAAAGATTTTAAAAAAGCGATTGGCATTTTAGAACAAAAGAGGCTGGCCGCTCGGGGTGGTGACACGGAGGCGGAGCAGGACGCAGCAGCTGCCTTGTGTCGAACCTGGGCGATGCGGGCATTTCAAAAAGACAGAAATCGGGCATTTCCCGAGTCTGGGTGGAATTCCCACTCGTGCTTCAAGGAATCAGCTTAGGAACAGGAGAGAGGGTCTTCCTAAGCTTTTTAGAAACTGCTTCTGCAGTTGAACTCAAACCCACCCCTGATGCGATGTTACCCAGGACACTAAGAGCGGTCTAATTCTTAGCCACATGGGACACGAGGGGATGGGAACGTGGGTTTGCCAGGATTCCTGGCGGGTAGGGCTCTGGGGACAGGGTTCCCTCCGTCCCCACGGTGTGCCTGGGCATCCGAGCGGGTCGTTCTGGAGAGGGAGCCGTGGGCTTCCATCCATGGGGTGCACTCCGCTCCCCGATGTCATCCCTGGCGTGTGTTGGAGCTTTGTCCTCCCAGGGGGCTTCGGAATCACTAGCTGCACCGCCGGGACAGGCCCGCCAGGCCGTGTGCCTCCTGCTGGGACACCTGGACTCCGCGATGAAGGGGATGCCGTGGGTTCAGGATCCCCCGGGGCTGTCAACCCAAGAGAACACTGAAGAGAACAAAGGCCTTTATTTGGGGTGTCAGGCAGCAGCTTGGGGAGCATGGGGCCAGAAACGAATCCCACTTGTGTTGGGAGAGCAAGGGGTTTTTATGAGAAAGCAGGAAGGGGTAATTCTGTGATTTCGACGACAAAGAGAAAACTGCTGATTTGGTGCTGACCAGCGGTCAGCTTCATCTCTCCCACTGCTGGTGACCATCTGGTCCTAACGGGCTCCAAACACCCTGTAGCTAGGGCCTCAGTGGTACAGAGGGTCCTCGTGGTCACAGATCAGTCTCTCTCTCCCTCTGTCCCTCCGTCTCTCCGCCTCTCTCCCTCCGTCTCTGTCTCTGCCCCTCCCTCTCTCTCACCTGGAGAGACGTAGACACACACTTCAGTCTGCCCAAGGCCACAAGCTACCTGCTTGCCAGTGTGCTTGCATTTGCTCTCAGGCAGGTTTGGAGTCAAGAGACGTAATTGGACATGCCTCGTCCTCCTGGGGCCCAGATGCCTTGAGGACCTGGGAACACAGCCCAGCTGCACTGTTATCGGCTGCAAGGCCCCAGCTGTTTTCGTGACCTCCCTGGGCTTGCTTCCTCCTTAGTCCCTCGGGGTTCGGCTTGAGGGGCGAACCGACCCTGTTGAACAGGGGCCTGGCCACAGTGGGCTAACCACGCCGGCGTCCTGTCTGCGGAGCGGCCCCACAGCCAGGCGGTCGGGAGAAGGCTTTGGGCAGGAGAGGGCAGAGCAGGTGCCCCCCTCCAGGGTGAGGAGCCTACATGGTCTCTGGCCCCTTCCTCGAGCGACACCCAGGGGACACGGCGCTCTGGGGGAATACTTTAACACACAGTTACAATTCAGAGAATCGGTGATAAGGACCCAGTGTGAGCCGCCACCACTGAGCCTACATTGCAAGCAGAGTCTCTACAAATTTGGAGAAGGATGCTCAGTGGAGGCAGACGGCCCAGGGCACCATGTGCGGACCTGACGACTCATTGAGGCACGCTGTAGCAAGCCACTTACCTGCCTGGGTATTGTTTATTTCTAGCACATGTGGTCGCAACTGCTCAGGGAGGGGAAGTGAAGCAGGAGAACCCGCCTGCAAAGAGCATGGCCTGCAGCACTCGGGGGGGCCTTTGGGGGGCAGGGTTGTGTGCATTTGAAGACATATGAGCTATTTCCCTTTCCTTAAAGTATTTCTTAAAAAGGACAATATAGTTTGACATTCTGGATCATTAGAAATCATGTATAACTTCTACCATGATTAAAATACAAATACTTTAGCCAAAACCAAAAAAATAAACTAGATTCTAAGGATTGAAGTCAAGCTAAGGTAGAAATTGGATATATAAGAGTCGTTAATTATTTATAAAAATTAGAAAAAAGTGTAATTATGTCAGAGAAAATGCCCCACCATACTTCCGCATATTGTGTCATCCGAGGAAACAGAAGGTTTGCCTTTTATCATGGGCTGAATGTCTGTCCCGCGGTGTGCCCGACCTTGGAGGGGCCTGGGGGGTGCGGGCTTGGGGGGAGGAGGTCAGGTGAGCACACCCCAAGGTGGCAGCACCTGCCGGCCAGAGAAACCAGCCCCGCGGCCCCTGGAGCAGGACCCCCAGCCTCGGCCTGTGGGAGAAGGAGAGTCTGTGTGTCCTCAGGGCCGCCCCTCCGCTTACTCAGGCAGAGAGTGCAGGAGCGGGGAGAGCACTCAGCCCTGTGGGCTAAAGACACTTACACATCCCAAATATTTCTCTTGTGATCAGGAGGGTAGCGGGGGCCAACCAGAGTCTGAGTCTTTAGTCAGCCAGCCAAGCACATTTACGGAGCACCTACTGTATACGGGAACTGGCTGCTGTGTGGGGGGAGGGGAAGGTCAGCTCTGGGAGCTGTGTCTTGTTGGGGGAAACAGGCGCGACCAAGGGAGGGCTCGCGGGGAAGGACAGGGGACGGCACACTCACAGGCTTCCCTGGGCCGGGCAGTGTGGAGGGGACCCGAGGCAGAGCGGAGATTTACCCCGCAGAGACATGGAGCTGGGGGGGGATGGGAGGCTGGCAGGACCCGGGGGGGCCCTCAGGGTGGCCCAGCACGCGGGGAGGACGCTGAGGTGGGAACAGGCAGGGGCTGCTCCTTGGCACTGCAGCAGAAGGGGGTCCCGGGGCAGAGACCCAGGGCAGGCCGGGCAGCGGGGACCCCAGTGCAGAAGGGGCTCAGCGGGGAGGCCTGGGGAGGCCAGCGGGCGCAAGGAGGGGGCTCCGTGTGATTGGGTGGGGAGCGCCTGTGGGTTTCTCTCGTTGGCTCTGACGTGGAAGCAGGGACAGAAGCCAGGGCAACTGCCATTTGGGGCAGACTGTTACAGAAACTACTGTCCAGCCTCCTGAACGGTCAGTGCAGACAGCTGCTGACGCCCTGCGGGCCTGAGGAGGCAGCTGGCCTCCGAGCCGGTTTCCATGCGGGCCGCGGAGGGCCACGGGGCAGAGCTCCTTTGGGACACCAGGCTGTGCCACCATCCACGTGTACGGCCGTCTGTCAGGAGCCGCGGAGAACACAGGAGGACTGCGTCCGGGAAGGCCCGTTCCCGGGCTGCACTGACCTGGGGCCAGGAAGGGGCCCGCGAGGAGGCAGAGGGCCCCCGCCAGGGGTGTGCGGTGCGGACGGCGCCGAGGGAGGTGTCGCGGAGCTGCCACGCACGTGACCAGACACACAGCGGGTGGCGGGTCTGTGGGGGGAGCCCTCCATCTGCCGCAGAAGACCCCGCACAACAGCGACACAGAATGAGAGAGACCAGGGGCACGTCCGGTGTCACTCATCCCCAGGGGGACCTCTGAACTCTTGCTGACGCAGGAGTGCGTCCGTCCTCCCAGAAATAAGAACCGGCATTTCTGTCTCTATTTTAAGATGCTTTATCCTTTTCTCTCATTTTTTTATTCCATCTTGTTTCCATTGTCAGGCTCCTTGCAGCCGCGACCACCTGACCGAGGATGAAATCCGCCGCACACCACTTACTTCAGTGAGCTTCAGCCTCGCCTTCCTTATTTCCCCCATGCCCACCTGCTGTCCCATTTGGGGTCACAGGGTCCATCTCAGATTCGGGTCCCTGCGCCACGCTCCCCCCTGG